ACTTTCAAATTAATAACAATTCCACTCTGACACACCCTATCCATCAAAAACAATGGAGAAACAAACTTAGCGTCTAACACCTAAAGTTTCAAGAACACATTATGACAGAGTATACATACGAATCCTCCTCATAACTCCTTAGACATGATATATCTCTATAGTCAAACAGAACCCGGTTCCCCATCCGCACAACCATGGGCCAGCTTTAGTTAGATGCATCGACTTGGGGTTCATTTCTAGGGTTGATATTTCTTTTTCCCTTGATAGAGTCATATTTGCTATGCTTGACAATTGACACCAACCAGGAGTAGGACTGCGGTAGTGATGCAAACATAGTAAAAAAAAGAAGTCATATTGCCCCAATCGCTAAGCTGTGAATTGTTATATGATAGATCTATGCTATTACAAAAGAAAATTCTTCACTCCTAAGATCACCAAGGGAATTAAGCATAAAATAAACTAATACCCCATGTAAACCATGTGAAAAAGCATTGCCAAAGGTGTTGCACAGCTTTGTTGTGTTGGCATTGGAAATATTGATGGGAAAAGCATCCTGGTGAATTGTTGTCAAAGTTATCATCATCGTCTTTTTCTTCCTCTCGTTCCCAAAATGTGTGCTAAATGAAGTGTTGGACCCTCGACTGTCACCCCACAAGGCCTCTTCATGAAATATCTCTGCATGAGCTTAAAAACCATGAGATGTTTATTGGTGGTGAGTATTGAACATTAGCCACTTTGGAAAACAGGGACAGTTAAATATAATATCTAAGAAAAATATTTTTAGATGTATGTCATTGAGGTATATTTGAGTTACAAAATAAAAGGTTTGACTGATAATTGATTAATTAGTTAGTCAATGTGAATTCCTAGAGACCCTTTTGTTAAAGCAGATGGCTGAGAGATTTGGGGACATTCAATCTCGTTCCATGTATATTGATGAGTGTTTTATTTAGTTAATATTTTATTATTAATTAATCTGTGCTACCTCCTTTTATAGTGTTAGTTTGGGTTGTTTTTATTTGAATCTATGTAGGAATCTATTTTCCAAACACAACAATTAAAAGGCAAATTAAACATATTTTACTATTTATTTGGGACAAGTAGGCGCCAATTACATTCAGAGATCAAAGGAGGAAAACAAGACGAACCATAATTCTTTAGAAATTTAAAAATTGTAATTTAATTTAAATTTTTGATATTTTATTATTTTATTAGAAATTCAATTTGCATAGAACTAATTAGTTTACTATTATTTAGGATTTTTAATATTTATTAATCATTATTTTTAGTTTGTTAGAATTAAGAGTTTGAATACTATTCAGAGTTAGTAATTTATTTTCTTTAGGTTTCTAAAGTTATAAATACCCATGAGGGTGAAGCTTGACATATACAAGTTTAGAATTCAGTATATAATTGGTTCTAGTTCTGGTTTTTCTTTTGATTTCTACCATACTAAACTTTTCGTTAGCTGATAGATGAGCGACAACTCAAACTAGTCTCGTGAGAATCGAAAAGGTACGTAACATATTCATATTTCTTTCTTGAATTTTTACAAACAAGGAGAGGCAGTTGGCCTTTCTTCAACATCTCAATATCTTCAATCCATGGACAACTCAAACTAGTCTCGTGAAAAGGTACTAACATATTCATATTTCTTTCTTGAACTCAAGAATCGAAAAGGTACGTAACATATTCATATTCTTTCTTGATTTCTACAACAAGGAGAGGCAGTTGGCCTTTCTTCAACATCTCAATATCTTCAATCCATGGAGTGTATAGAGCACATTGGTTTGATCGACGTTTAGATCTACAGTTGGTGAGGAGAGTCGGCTTGTAGCAAATTCAATTTCCTAAGAACAAACTTAACAGTGGTCTGTTAAGGGAAATCAAGATCGGTTTGATTCTCATTGAGACACCATAATCCGAGCTAGGCTTTTCCAATTCCAAACCAGCATTGGCGTTAATATCGATAACTTGTATTAATCCAAACATGGCTAAATTTCAAGGATTTGCTTTGGGAATTAGTTCACCAGAGAGAAAGCAAGTTTCAAGAGTTGCAAATCTAGAGGCTATTTCTCATCTTCATTATTCTTTTTACAATTTACTTTTCTTAATTTTCTTTGCATCTTAGTTTTACTTTAATTTTATTTCATTTACTTGATTATTCAAAACCTTCAATTCTTTTTAATTTTCTGTTTTACAAATTTCTGGTTAAAGATCATTCATATTGATATTACAACTTTCCGAATCCTGTGGACCAACACCCTTCTTCTCTACACTACTTCTTAGAATAATTATCCGAGAAAATGATTAATTATTTGACAATTACAACTCTTTTTTTGCATATTTCTTATTTTTGTGCTTATTAGTAGAATGTTGGTCGATGCTCAATTTGGTTAATGGTTCTTTATTGGTTCATCCTTTGCCCTTGTTGCTTCACCATTGTTGTGAATGTGTTGCTTTCACATTCGAGGAGTAGCTATTGGCTTTATAAGTCAATAAGTAAGAAGAATAAAGAAAGAAAACTCAAGAAATCATCTTTCTACCTCAAGACATAAATCGAAAAATTCGGAAAAAGAATGTTAACCAATACGAGAAAGAAGTACACGAGAAAGCCTCTCTCATGAATTCTTATTAATAATAGACATCCCTGTGAGTTCTCTAAAGGATGTTTGGAAAGCTATTTTGGATCTGTGCCGACTGCCGAGAAGGGTTGGATCATGGAGACAGGAGGTTTCTTGGTCGGTGCTAAGCTCAAGGCAGGCTTTCCTCTCCATACTGTTGAAGGTAGCTTGTAGTGCATATATTTCTCACATATGGAAGGAAAGAAATTGCAGGGTGTTCGGTGGGGCTCATAGATTTATGATGATGATTCGAGGATTAAGGAGGAGGACCGGTTGAGGTTTATAGGCAACCATAACTCAGGGGGAATGAACATTAGACTATGTAGTGATTGGGGTAGGGTAATTGGTTGGATGTATAGGGTGTTTGCTTGCTGTTCTGGGAAATGCAGCGAGTGCCGAGATACGCATGACCAATCCTCAACTTACCGACCAATCCATGGCATGAAAACTCAATGCTGGAAATTAAACAATGGAGCTGAATGAAGTCCTCCACCATCGCCTCCTAGAGATATTTTGTTAATCTACTTGTCGTCCGATTTCCTACACCACCAAAACAACAGACGCAACAGGTGAATGCAGATGAGAAAACATTATAAGCATCATCACAACTATAATTTCTAGAAAGAAATACAATTCTGAACTCTAAACAAATCTCCATTTTTAATGTACAATTTACCCTAACTAGAATCACAAACATGAGATTAGTTTTCAAGTTGGAAATTACCTAAGCGTCTTCTCAAAAGCATAACCCAAAGATTTAAAAGCTGAAAGCATTTGAATCATTTAGGCCCTCCATAGCCAAATTGTCTTTGTAGCAGAACCATCATGGCTTCCCCAAAATTAGCATCTTCTTGAGAATTTAAATTCTGGCTGGATTTATCACATTCCATCACATCCATAACGGTGTAACTCTCTGCATCCACGAAAAACACAAGAACACCACATTCCTTCACTTCATATTCTCTGCAAAATCATCCGGATTTTGAATTCAAATGATGCCTCCTCATAATCATTGTCTATAATAATCATATCCTCACTAAACATAATCGCACATGATAACCTCAAATCTCCAATCGGATCCATAAAAAACGCGGCAATCACTTGTGAACTTTTCCCCACTGGCAGTTATCAGTTGATATTTACAACTAATTCTATGATTTACCTCTACAACTGCAAGATCAGCTACAAGGCCATAGCAAAAGCCAAAAATCTGCTCCCCCTGCACCCATTTGGGTTGTTATCTTCAAATTTAACCAAGAATTCAAGCTTCGAGTTCAAACTCGTTTCCTGAAATTTCATCTCCTGGGAAACTACAAAACAATTGATTTCGAAAAGAAGCCCTTATATATTTCCTCTCCAAATATCTCTTTGCTCCTTGCCCATCTCTTTGCTAGGATTGAATTTGAAGCATGGCATTTGACTCAATGTTTTTAATTGAATCTTGATTCAGCTTTGCAATTCAGGAATGTCGTGGAAACCCGTTTATCAAGAGAAGCATAATCACCATCATGTAAAGAATGGAATGAACTGACATTATGACTGGTGAACGATACTTTTTCTAATGATTTGCAATCATTTGCATTCAAGAACCACATATATCGTGGAAGCCTGCGAGTGTTTTAAGACTTTTGCAACCACTAAGATCCAACTCACGAAGGAATTCCGCTTTGAAATATTGCTTGATACATTTTCCACCCTTGAGCATCTCAACCTCAACTTTCTAAGTCCGACAAAAAGCTGAATTGAATCAGGCACTTCTTCTATTTCAGTGTGTGATAAATTAACTCGGAAAAGTCATTTGGGAGCTCTGGAAACTTCTTGAGTTTAGGACACCCTCAAATTCAAGCTTTTTAAGAGATGTCAAATGATTGAGTCTAGGAAGTTCAACCAAACTTAGACACTTTGTACATCTAAGGCTTTGAAGGTTGATGGCTCTTGATAGATTAGGGATCTTCCTTAGTTGCTGGCAAAACGAACGTCAATTTCCCTTAAATTAACAAATCCTGTACAAATAAATAACTACATTACTTCACAGCATTCTACTTATTTTGGGCCATATCAAAAATGAAAAGAAAAATTTACCTTATAATTTTCATTCCAAAGTTGCTCCATGTGACCAAATCGTAATTTCAACACAGCAAGATTCTTTGGATTAAAACTTGATGATAACGTTTGAAGGGATAAAAGTCCCAACAAGATACCTTAGCTCATCAGGAAGAGATACACTATCAACGCTGTTTGCAATACAGCCAGTTTATGAAGTCCCGCAAAAAGGGCATGAAGAAGCCATATATAACATGGGGACCATAGAAGTGGATATATCTAAGAGAAAGCATGTTCTTAAACCAGGACATGATAACAGCAGTTCTTCAACTCGACTCTTGTTTAACTTTATTCTTCAATTGATTTATTCACCTAAAAACAAGAAACAATTAATCAAGTATCAATACAGAGAATCTATGGGCATTCCATTAAATTACTCATTAAAAAAGTAATTATATTAGGAAAGGCTTTACTAATTGGGCATACCTTTTTATTACTGGAATTTTAGACAAAAAAAAATGTCTGCCTTTTATTTCAAGTAATGCATTAGATATTTAGCTAACCAAATAAAACTTGAGCAGATCCCATGTTATACCCTAAAACATTGGTCATTATATAAGGTATGTACATAAATATTTTATTTTCTGAAATAAATAACAGCTGACAACATATATATCGAATATAGTTCTAATTAAATCACAAAAATATAAAACATAAAAGGAAATGTATATACAATCAGGCTTACTTCATTAGATTTGAGCACTTGATTCAGGTCTTTGAGACTCCATAACCTACTGCGTTTTCCAGGGTCTTTAGATACTTGGCAAACAATGTCCTTACCCATCTCTTCAAGCATATCATGCATAGAAATAAACCTATAAGAATCAATATGAAGTAGGCACTTATCGAACAAGTTACTTATTCCACACATGCACCCTTATACAAGGAACTTAGAACATTTCTACATCGTCCTTCAGTTTCCCCTTTCAAAAAGCATGCTACGTCAAGAAATATATTCTTCTCTAGCTCATCCAACTCATCAAAGCTCCACCTTAGAATATGTGAAATTTTTGGTTGCGCATATTCCTTGAGCTTATCCACCTCACTTTCCCACTCTTTTCGAGACTTTGTATTTTAGAACCTAAAACTTTTAGAGCAAGTGGATTGCCTTGGGCATAATCCAAAACTTGTTTGATAGATCTTGAAAATCAAGAGGAGGATTCAAAAGCTTAAATGCAAATGTAGAAAAGAGTTGCAGAGAATCGTTCTCCTTTAACTTGTATACCTCGTGTATATTGTCAGCTCCACCATTCTTGAGAACTTGTCTATCTCTGGATGTCACAATGATTTTACTTCCCTCACCAAAATATTTTACACCCATCAGATCTATCTGCTCTGAGTCATTAACATCATCAAGGACGACAATTGTTTTCATGCTTTTGAGCCTCTTTTGGGTTAAAGGAGATCCTATGGATGGGGTGTCTATATCAATTTTGTCATCTAATAGTTTGGAGAGAGTTCATTTCTTACAGATTCATCCCTTTTTTTTCCATTTCCTCTCTAACATTTGGAGAAAGCAACGACTTTGAAACTCTGAGGAGATTTCATTGTATATCGCATCAGCAAGTGTAGTTTTGCCTATACCACCGGCTCCATAACAAATGTGTCATGCGTAAATCACCCATTAATTTTTTAACGGTGAGGTACTAGAACGAAATAAAAACTGAACGTTAAGCATGGTTTTAAAAAGAATCGAAGTTTTAGATATCAAAATAGATCAAATTTAATAGTTTAAGTACTAAATACGTAGTTTACCCTTTATAAAAACGCAGAGTTCTATATATTGGGTCTTGGCGCATGTTGAATTTCCACGACTACAGGTATAATTTGTTATGCTTTTGGGTTTTTGAGATTAATGGGTAAACTACACCTAATAACTCCCAATTATTATTTTTTTTTTCTACTCCGTCACCAAACTATTTTTTATACTTAGTTATGAATATTATGTTTTCTTTTCTATTTTGATTATTGGGGGCTAAATTTTTGTTAAAACTAATGGAGATGGTGATGTATTTTGGTATAATAAATTTTTAATCTCCAAACTTTATTCATTCTATCAATTGAATCCTAATTCGAAAATCTAATAAATTTAACCTTTAATATTTAAAACACATTTAATTTGGTCCTTCTCATAATTCTTTTGTTCTCCCTCTCCTCTAAATCCAGACTATGGTAGAAATCATCATCAGCCACAATCATTGATCGTTATCGACATCCACTCAATCCTAAAATTTTCTGATCATTCCTTTTTGATTTCCTAAACACGGATCTGACGTCTGTTTCACTAAAAATGGACTAGACTCCAAAAATCTATCGTAGAGCGTCAATTACCACCATTTCATGAATTACTATAATTTTTACATGTAACCCCCTAGACCCAACTTAGAAGTTACGATAAAACCATGGAAATCACATTAGTTTACCCTCTAAAGGGAAACTTATTTGACAAATTGTTTCTCAAACTCTTATCAGATAAAGTAGTAAAATAAACTCATGTCACATTTAAGAGAATTTTCGAAAGTTAATATTTAACCATTATATATAAAACCGAAAATTAAACTTCTAATTATCGATTCGATCCTATATTTGGATAATATAGAATTGAAAAAAAAAAACAGAAAATGGGTGAGTTATAAAATTCAATATATTCTCTAAATACAATCAGACATCATCATTAATTCATAAATATCTCAATCAACATAGCATATCAAATAACGAGTATCTACAAGACATGACCATAAATTTAAAAAGTATAAACACTAAATTAATAAAATTATAGTAAAATGTGTGCACAACACATGAACATATAGCAAAGCCAAAAGTTTTGGATACAAAGAGAATATTACACAATGAGTTGAGCAGGGACAGAGCTCCCTTAGGGTCCAAGGGGCCCGGCCCTATTAATTTATATATTCGATATAATTTTATTTTTATTATTTTAATTCATGTAAAAAATAAATATAAAAATAATTTATTAAATATTTAATCAAGTAGGGTCAAACTAAAGAAAGATAAGTTTGTGTTCTCAAAATTTTGGTTTAATTACACTTTAAGTCATTGCAAGTTTAAATATTACAAATTAGAAGTTATCTTTTGAGTTTTGAGGGTTTTTTTTAATTTAGGGTGAATACAAGGTAATATATGTACAAGACTTTCACTATTTGACAATGAATGCTCATACCCCCTACATACGTGCTTGAACTCGATACCTCAAGGATACAACAATCTCTTAATCACTAAGGTCGCTTGGTTCGTGCTGAATTTCGAGTTTAAATACCTAATAAGTCTTTATATTTTTAAATAGACTAATATTTCAACCTAATATTTCGGCCATTACCAATATTTAATTATGGCTCCGTCCCTGGAGTTGAGTAAGGGTTTGGAAGAATTAAAGTATACATGAAATGTGTCAAGCAACCAATTTGGGGAGTGCATAAGATGAGAAAATAGATAATATGGCAGCACATACAATGCAAAGAGAAACAAGCTTGCCGATGCATATGCTTTATCAAAAAAAAATTCATCAACGTCGTCTACCTTCAACACATCAGCCAGAGCCTTTGGATCTTTGGTCGCGCCAAACCCAGCTACCGAACCCGTGGCTAATACATACGATATAACCTGCGTGCATGCATGCCCAAAACATGCAAAGCTCTATAAGTAAATTGCATTCACTGTTAATAAATCAAATATAAGTCTCGCTAAGCTTTAAAATTAATCATTTGTTTCCAAATGCTTCAACTGCACTAGCTAAGCTTTAAAATTAATCATTTGTTTCCAAATGCTTCAACTGCATAATTTATCAAAAATTTTATATTCTGGCAGTTTGCACTACCTTCAAAGAAATATTATTATGTATTAATACACACTTAAAAATTATTCCACTCATACCACCGAAATTAGACTCGAATATAAATCTAACCATATAAGGAACTCGATCTAGTTCCACTTGTACAATTCATAGTGAAGTTTTGAATTTGACTTATAGAAGTTGTTTTGAACAGATTCTGCTACTGTTTTCTGACCTATCCTCGATTAAAAATTCATATCTCTTTGTACACTACTCGAAATCATTATCAGTTTGTTTTAAGTGAAACTAGACTGATATATAATCAACGGTATAAATATCATCCTCTAATCATTTTTTTATAATTTATAGTGATTTTCTAAACTTACTGTTCAAATCTTGAATTCTAGGCACTTTCCTTAATTAGCTTCCTTAACTCATTCCATACTTCTATTACTTACCGAATGAACATATAGGCTTGAATCACAATTCACATAAAATTAAGAGTCACTTCTTAATATGTAACTCCGACATTGGATCATCGCAAGCATATTGTGATGTCTTTCTATTTATCTCTATTACAGTAATAATTGTGGTAATTAAATTTTTACCCAATTAAATTACTGCTAGTGATATAAGTTTTATCGTTACTAAAACTTTGACATAATTAGAATACACAAATTGACGTGAATTATTTTCTTGATGAAAATAATATGATACCCTGTAAAATTATTTTATATTTAATAGATTTCAATCTAATTGTATTTAGTTCATGTAAAAATAAGTATTTAAATTGATAAATATAAGAATTTATTAGATATTTAATCAAGTAAGGTGAATTAAAGAATGATAATTCAATACCAACAACTGATTGGTCTAGCGGATGAGGCACTATTCCTTAAGCAAGGTCAGAGATTTGAATCTTATCAATTGCGAACGGAGCAAACTGGGTTATACAAAAAAAAAGGAATGATAATCCAATGTTCTCAATTTTTTGGTCTAATAACAATTTAGGTCATTATAAATTTAATTATTACACAAATTAGACATTGTTTTCTGAATTGTAAGTTTAAATACCTAATAAGTCATTGAATTTTTCTTAAAAAGTTTAATATTTCGCCCCTGTCTATATCTAATCTTGGCTCCACCCCTGATATAAAGTGATCATTGTTATTTGATATTGTCGTGAAAATAAAGTTTGTATCACTTAAAATTTTCCTTTTTGTCATATAAATTTTGACACAAATAATCTCTATTTATTTTTATAACCATTGTACTAATAACAACTAAAAAAATTATAGTTACCATAAACTAGTTATCGAAATAAAATATTTTTCATTAATCTCTGTACTATGTGCAAAGTATAATTTTAGTCATTATACTCTAATTTGATCATTTTTAGTCCCTATACTTTTTAAATTTTTAAATTGCAATCACAATTCGAAAATTGCAATGACAATGACATATTCACAGTGTTAGTATGACAAATGATTATCGCATAAAGGACCATTCTTTTGTTGATTTGAATTAAATTAAATTTATTTAATTATTTTAAAATATAATAGTTAATGTTTGGGTTTAAATCTTATATTTATAGGTTTGTATTTTAAAATCAACACAATTATTTTTTTATTTTTTTCCATAAACATATTTTGTATTCTAAATCATAAAAAATTAAATGATAATAATAGTAATAGGAATAGCAAGAAATGCTATAGTTAATATATTTTCAAAAATAAATTAAATTAATTCCCGTCATAATAGAACAGTAATAGGGATGCCGCTTGATGATGCTGAACTGAAAGTCATTGGCATCAGTGAGTTGGAAGCCATTGCTTTACTGGGAGCTTGTTGTGGTCATCCTCAACCTTGTGGCCTTGTCTGCTTTACTTAACTCTTCCGCCAAGAAACCAAAGCACTTTAAGGGTATGTTAGTATATTGTGTTGTATTTCTTAATGCCGCCACTGTCTCCAGCTGGCATCTCTCTTGTATAAATACGTTGGTCTCTAATGAGATATTACAGCTTTCATCAATAAAATCCTTAGAGAGTACATCCATTAATGATAGCAGAGTGATACGTGCTGGTTTTTGTGTTCGTTTAGTCTAGTTGACTATGGTGAACATTCCCTGAGTTAAGGTATCTAAATTTAAGTAATTTTGTTCAAGACTGAGTTGAGCTCTCATAGACTTGCAAGTTTATTCTAATTTGCTTCTGCATCTAATTTCTTTGGAATGCTATAAGTTGCACTCTTATTTTTTTTATTGGCTCATCATTTGCCTTTGATGCTTTACCATTGTTGGTTAATTTGTTGTTCTTCATCAAATGTTTTGCCTCACGTTCGCTGAGTAGTTTATGTGTCTGATATTATCTTTTGCCTTTGATGTTTTGATCCATTCATTGATCTCTGGCTGAGAAAGTCGGATAGGAGTGTACTCTATGCTCAAGCAAGTGAAAATTTTGTTGATCTTCTGTTTAGCTTCCTCTCCAATCTGTATTGGATCTCGTCTTAAGAGGCAAAGGTAATATCACATTGGGATCCATCTCCAACTTGTTCAGAGATTTAAACACACCATTCTCAGTATCCAATCAAAAGAATTCCCAGAAATGTTTTCTTTCCCCTTTTATAGCTGTCCAAATGAGTTCCCAAGTATCCGTTCTCCGGCATGCATACATTATCGTTACACCTTCTACGAGTCCTTGTCAAGAAGTAGACTAGAATCAAGCGTTCTCAATAAACCATTGGACCCGAAATCTCTGAAGCCGAGCAAGTTCGGGCTATGATGAGAAAAACTCGATGTTTGTGGTCACAGATGATCTGCTTTTTAAACAACTGTCCTCCATTTCCAGCATATATTTACTGAAGGAAATAGGGATGCCGCTCGCTGAAGTTGAACAGAAATTTACTAGCATCGGAGAGGGTGAAGCCATTGCTTTGTTGTGGGCTTGTTTGTGGTCATCCTCACCCTTGGCTGCTTTACTTAACCCTTTTGCCAAGAAACAAAAGCAAGAGCCATTATATTTGCACCATTGTTGTGAAACGTGGATAATTCATTGTGACCTTAAAAGTTTGAGAACTAAGGCACTCTTTGATTCGAATCACAATACGATACAGAGTCCAAATCCAACGTTGTTATTTAAACTCTAATTTGATGACAATCCAGTAGCTTATGATGCAAATACAAGACCAAAATATAAACCCAAATTACACTGGAAAAGCTCATAATTGTTATATTTTCTCAAAGCAGAATGTGAACAGAAGAGAAGAGCAACCATTACTGCTGAGGCTGACTAAGCCTCCTAAGATCAATCATACCACACCTTAGATACCAGCAACTTGAGAAACAAAGATTTATCTTAACACATCATATCATAATTGAAATGTGCCTCAGCTGGTGATATAATTTTGTTAAGATAAGAAGACATTATTACCTTCTGATTGAGCAGGATATGGAGTTCGAATCCCATGGCGTAATCGAGTTGGACGAAGAAGTTTGTCTCGAATAGAACAAAGCTTGGCAACAACATCACTCATGTCCATCCGCTCGACCGGTGATTCAACAGAGCATGCAAGTCCTATTTCGAATATTGAATTCAAGCAATGAAGGCGGCTGTCATTTCCCATACGGTTTGCATTGCGAGTGATGTCTGTGACTGTTCCTTCTCTGACACCCTCTAGAAGTAGAATCGGATCTATAATCTCAACCATTAGATCAGGCAAAGCTTCCTTAACAAAGATGTGAAGACTTAAACCTTCTTTGAACCTTTCATCAGTTGGCCTTTTCCCTGTAAACATCTCCAGCAAAAGGATGCCATAACTATACACATCTCCTTTTGTTGACAACTCGCTTCCCATGCCATATTCTACAATTAGTTCATCACAAATTACATAGACAAATAATTGTAGCGGAAAACCTGTAAATAATGATTATAAAAATTGAAGGAAAAAAATACAATGTAAATACCAGGTGGAGCGTAACCAATTGTTCCTCTTAATCCAAGGGAACTTGACTGAGAAGCATGATGGTTTAGGCTGTCTGCAAAAAAGGATTTTTGCTAAGCCGAAATCACTTGTATGGCCAACCATTTCATCATCAAGTAAAACATTGCTTGGCTTAAGGTCACAATGAATTATGGACATCTCACAACGATGATGCAAGTATTCGAGTGCATGAGCAACATCAATGGCCACATCAACTCTTTGGAAGAAGTTCAAGTTTCTCATCATCTCCTTTTCATTCAAGCTGCTAGATGGATGCAGCCAGTCCTCCAAGTTTCCATTTTCCATGAACTCATAAACCAAGGCTTTAAAATCATTGCCTTTATAATCGACACTAGAAATGGCTGTTAATACCCGCACAAGATTTCGATGTCGAATGTTCTTCAAGATCTCGCATTCAGCCATGAAACTCCTGGAAGCTCTACGATTAAGAAGATTAAGCACCTTTACCGCAATAGTTGCTCCACCCTCTTCAAGAATTGCTTTGTATACAGAGTCGAAACTTCCCGAACCAACTAAATTTTGCATGGAAAAACCGTCAGTAGCCAATAGGATGCTTTGGTATGACAACCTTAAAAGCGAATTCTCTGCACAAGTTGCAGTTGGCTTTCGCTCTTTCTTCTTTCTAAACCACAAGATGAAGAGACAAGTTAAAACCAAAGCCACTCCTAAAATCACAATGACAATTGAAATCTTCAATTTTAAGGGAAGTGTTTGGTGATGTTTTTGTGTTACATCTTGACAAGTGTAACTCAGGGATACCTCCACATAACTTATTGTTCCCCTCAACGAATATAGCACTTGCATTCTTAAAAACTCCTTCACTTGGCATCACTCCCTCGAAATCATTGGAAGAGAGATTTAAATACTTTAAAGCCCTCAAACTGACAAGAAATTTCGGAATCTCACCCGAAAGATTATTATCAGATACATCCAATGCCTCAAGACCTTTCAATGAACTCAAAGAAGAAGGAAGAGGACCTTCAAACAAATTCCCATCCAAGAACAACATCTCTAGACTTACACAGCTACCGAGGTTGTTTGGAATCAACCCAGATAACATGTTTTTATAAAGATAGAATTCAGCTAGATTTTTCATATAACCTACTGCAACATGAAGTTCGCCGGTCAAATCATTTGATGATAAATCTAAAGTAATGGACATGGATGGGATTCCAAGTACTTGAGGGGGTATAGGTCCACTAAGATTGTTATGAGAAAGACTCATTGAAAGCAAATTTTGGCAGTTACCTAAACTTGAAGGAATGTTGCCTTGAATATTGTTAAATTCTAAATTAAGCTGGATTAACTCTGTTAAATTTCCAATAGATTGAGGAATAATCCCAGAGAGAAAATTACCAAAAGCGAAAAACACCTTTAGATTCTGAAGCCTCCCAATTTCAAAGGGAATGGAGCCTGATAGTTTATTTTCATTTGCCCCTATCACCTCCAAATTGTTGAGATTTCCAATCCCATCCGGAATTCTTCCCCATATTTTATTCTTCTCCATTGATAAACCCACAAGGGTGTTGGAAAAATTGCTAATGCATTCCGGAAGTTCCCCTCCAAAATTATTCATGCCTAAAGACAGATAACTTAAGGTTTTATTGAGTAAAGTGCAGAGAAAGTTCAAGTCACCTTGTCTTCCGTATCCCAAGTGGTTTGCCTCTAGTTGAAGGTTAGACAGTTTATCCAACTTTTCTAACGAAGGCACGTCTCCACTGAAAATGTTAAGAGCAAATTCAAGTACATTTAGATTTGAGGCATTGCATATTGAAATAGGGATTTGTCCGAAGAATTGGTTGCTTACTATGGAAAAGAATTCAACATATGGCATGGTGATTGCCAAGCTAGAATGAAGAGTACCTTGAATCTTGTTTTCACTAATATCGAAAGCTCTCATATTGGAGAGGTTGAGCATTGTGACAGGAACAACACCAGAAATTGCATTTGTTGCTATAGAGAGATATGAAAGTTTTGTCAGTTGTCCAAGAGCTTCAGGTATAATCCCACTTAATGCATTACGCGCCAAACGAAGCTTCTCCAGAGATGATAGGTTCCCCAAGGAATGTGGGATACTCCCTCTCAAACTGTTGCGGGAAAACCCCAAGACTCTCAGGTTTGACAAGAGACCCAACCAAGTAGGTATTTCTCCTGTTAGCTGGTTGCGTGCCATATCAACAACTGTAAGCTTAGAACAAGAAGATAAATTGGAAGGAATTTTACCACTGATGGAGTTATTGGTGAGGTCTAATACTTCTAATCTTCTTAAACGACCAATTTCCTGCGGAATCTGGTTGTAGAAGTTGGTGCCCACAAGTCTCAATTCCCTGAGAAAGCTCAAGTTTCCAATGTTTGGTGACAAAGATCCCGAGATTTTAAAGAATTGGAGTTCCAACTTGGTGACTCTCTGATGCTTGCGACCACATGTAACACCAGGCCACTGACAAAAGTGAATGGAACTATTCCAGGACTCCATAATCTTGAACTGATCACCAGTTATCTTGGCTTTGAATTGGACTAAAGCTTGTAAGTCTGTGGCATTTCCTCTAGCTTCAGGGCTTGCTGTTGCTAAATCAAGCAGATTAAGTCCCTGCAAGTTGAAACATGAGAGAAGAATTATAGCTTCAAGGTAAGCAAGGAAAAAAGTGGTGGACGCTTGAAAATGCTTTTTTGATAGTTCCATAAACCTGAAACAATTTCTTAATTAACAAGAATAATGTGTATTTGAGAGTGCTTGTTGGTTCATCCACAAGAACTAGAGATGGCATTATATATGAATAATTTTTGAACTGTGATGTTATCCTATTCCATATGAAGTCAATTGGTTCAAGTCTTCCAACTTTAAAAGTCACGTGGCTACGATTTCCACCACTTCCTACTTGGGGTTGGCAAGTTTCCACCACTTCCTACATTTAACATTTATGAACCATATATTCAGAAAACATTAATTTTTTCTTGTATAAGAAAATGATGAGAGGGAGACTTGAAAGTAAAGATTTATGGAGGATACTCTCATCAGGGTCACTGTACCACCACTTTCTGTATTTCACAAGTCAAGGAAGATGATAGTGGGAGACTTCAAATAAAAGTGCTTTTGCCACCACTTCCTACATTTCACATTATTTTCAAGTAAACGCAGATGCTTTCAGCAGGGTCCCAATTGGTGAGCCACCATTCACAGTTGTAGTTTATTTCTGGTTCTTGGGGTATTTTCTCTGACGTTTCATAAATGAAGGACTGTCAAGCTTTAAACACAGTGGATATCACTACCACCAAATGCCAATACTCAATAACTTTCAAATTAATAAACAATTCCACTCTGACACACCCTATCCATCAAAAACAATGGAGAAACAAACTTAGCGTCTAACACCTAAAGTTTCAAGAACACATTATGAACAGAGTAATACATACGAATCCTCCTCATAAGCTCCTTAGACATGATATATCTCTATAGTCAAAACAGAACCCGGTTCCCCATCCGCACAAACCATGGGCCAGCTTTAGTTAGATGCATCGACTTGGGGTTCATTTCTAGGGTTGATATTTCTTTTTCCCTTGATAGAGTCATATTTGCTATGCTTGACAATTGACACCAACCAGGAGTAGGACTGCGGTAGTGATGCAAACATAGTAAAAAAAAGAAGTCATATTGCCCCAATCGCTAAGCTGTGAATTGTTATATGATAGATCTATGCTATTACAAAAGAAAATTCTTCACTCCTAAGATCACCAAGGGAATTAAGCATAAAATAAACTAATACCCCATGTAAACCATGTGAAAAAGCATTGCCAAAGGTGTTGCACAGCTTTGTTGTGTTGGCATTGGAAATATTGATGGGAAAAGCATCCTGGTGAATTGTTGTCAAAGTTATCATCATCGTCTTTTTCTTCCTCTCGTTCCCAAAATGTGTGCTAAATGAAGTGTTGGACCCTCGACTGTCACCCCACAAGGCCTCTTCATGAAATATCTCTGCATGAGCTTAAAAACCATGAGATGTTTATTGGTGGTGAGTATTGAACATTAGCCACTTTGGAGAAACAAGGGACAGTTAAAATATAATATCTAAGAAAAATATTTTTAGATGTATGTCATTGAGGTATATTTGAGTTACAAAATAAAAGGTTTGACTGATAATTGATTAATTAGTTAGTCAATGTGAATTCCTAGAGACCCTTTTGTTAAAGCAGATGGCTGAGAGATTTGGGGACATTCAATCTCGTTCCATGTATATTGATGAGTGTTTTATTTAGTTAATATTTTATTATTAATTAATCTGTGCTACCTCCTTTTATAGTGTTAGTTTGGGTTGTTTTTATTTGAATCTATGTAGGAATCTATTTTCCAAACACAACAATTAAAAGGCAAATTAAACATATTTTACTATTTATTTGGGACAAGTAGGCGCCAATTACATTCAGAGATCAAAGGAGGAAAACAAGACGAACCATAATTCTTTAGAAATTTAAAAATTGTAATTTAATTTAAATTTTTGATATTTTATTATTTTATTAGAAATTCAATTTGCATAGAACTAATTAGTTTACTATTATTTAGGATTTTTAATATTTATTAATCATTATTTTTAGTTTGTTAGAATTAAGAGTTTGAATACTATTCAGAGTTAGTAATTTATTTTCTTTAGGTTTTCTAAAGTTATAAATACCCATGAGGGTGAAGCTTGACATATACAAGTTTAGAATTCAGTATATAATTGGTTCTAGTTCTGGTTTTTCTTTTGATTTCTACCATACTAAACTTTTCGTTAGCTGATAGATGAGCGACAACTCAAACTAGTCTCGTGAGAATCGAAAAGGTACGTAACATATTCATATTTCTTTCTTGAATTTTCTACAAACAAGGAGAGGCAGTTGGCCTTTCTTCAACATCTCAATATCTTCAATCCATGGAGTGTATAGAGCACATTGGTTTGATCGACGTTTAGATCTACAGTTGGTGAGGAGAGTCGGCTTGTAGCAAATTCAATTTCCTAAGAACAAACTTAACAGTGGTCTGTTAAGGGAAATCAAGATCGGGTTTGATTCTCATTGAGACACCATAATCCGAGCATAGGCTTTTCCAATTCCAAACCAGCATTGGCGTTAATATCGATAACTTGTATTAATCCAAACAATGGCTAAATTTCAAGGATTTGCTTTGGGAATTAGTTCACCAGAGAGAAAAGCAAGTTTCAAGAGTTGCAAATCTAGAGGCTATTTCTCATCTTCATTATTCTTTTTACAATTTACTTTTCTTAATTTTTCTTTGCATCTTAGTTTTACTTTAATTTTATTTCATTTACTTGATTATTCAAAACCTTCAATTCTTTTTAATTTTCTTGTTTTACAAATTTCTTGGTTAAAGATCAATTCATATTGATATTACAAATTTCCGAATCCTTGTGGACCAACACCCTTCTTCTCTACACTACTTTCTTAGAATAATTATCCGAGAAAAATGATTAATTATTTGACAATTACAACTCTTTTTTTGCATATTTCTTATTTTTGTGCTTATTAGTAGAATGTTGGTCGATGCTCAAGTTTGGTTAATGGTTCTTTATTGGTTCATCCTTTGCCCTTGTTGCTTCACCATTGTTGTGAATGTGTTGCTTTTCACATTCGAGGAGTAGCTATTGGCTTTATAAGTCAATAAGTGAAGAAGATGAATAAAAGAAAGAAAACTCAAGAAGAAATCATCTTTCTACCTCAAGACATAAATCGAAAAAAATTCGGAAAAAGAATGTTAACCAATAAACACGAGAAAGAAGTACACGAGAAAGCCTCTCTCATGAATTCTTATTAATAATAGACATGTCCCTGTGAGTTCTCTAAAGGATGTTTGGAAAGCTATTTTGGATCTGTGCCGACTGCCGAGAAGGGTTGGATCATGGAGACAGGAGGTTTCTTGGTCGGTTGCTAAGCTCAAGGGCAGGGCTTTCCTCTCCATACTGTTGAAGGTAGCTTGTAGTGCATATATTTCTCACATATGGAAGGAAAGAAATTGCAGGGTGTTCGGTGGGGCTCATAAGATTTATGATGATGTGATTCGAGGAATTAAGGAGGAGGACCGGTTGAGGTTTATAGGGGCAACCATAACTCAGGGGGAAGTTAACATTAGACTATGTAGTGATTGGGGTATAGGGTAATTGGTTGGATGTATAGGGTGTTTGCTTGCTGTTCTGGGAAAATGCAGCGAGTGCCGAGATACAGCATGACCAATCCTCAACTTACCGACCAATCCATGGCATGAAAACTCAATGCTGGAAATTAAACAATGGAGCTGAATGAAGTCCTCCACCATCGCCTCCTAGAGATATTTTGTTAAATCTACTTGTCGTCCGATTTCCTACACCACCACAAAACAAGACAGACGCAACAGGTGAATGCAGATGAGAAAACATTATAAGCATCATCACAAACTATAATTTCTAGAAAGAAATACAATTCTGAACTCTAAACAAATCTCCATTTTTAATGTACAAATTTACCCTAACTAGAATCACAAACATGAGATTAGTTTTCAAGTTGGAAATTTACCTAAGCGTCTTCTCAAAAGCATAACCCAAAGATTTAAAAGCTGAAAGCATTTGAATCATTTAGGCCCTCCATAGCCAAATTGTCTTTGTAGCAGAACCATCATGGCTTCCCCAAAATTAGCATCTTCTTGAGAATTTAAATTCTGGCTGGATTTATCACATTCCATCACATCCACTAACGGTGTAACTCTCTGCATCCACGAAAAACACAAGAACACCACATTCCTTCACTTCATATTCTCTGCCAAAATCATCCTGGATTTTGAATTCAAATGATGCCTCCTCATAATCATTGTCTATAATAATCATATCCTCACTAAACATAATCAGCACATGATAACCGTCAAATCTCCAATCGGATCCATAAAAAACGCGGCAATCACTTGTGAACTTTTCCCCACTGGCAGTTATCAGTTGATATTTACAACTAATTCTATGATTTACCTCTACAACTGCAAGATCAGCTACAAGGCCAATAGCAAAAGCCAAAAATCTGCTCCCCCTGCACCCATTTGGGGTTGTTATCTTCAAATTTAACCAAGAATTCAAGCTTCGATGTTCAAACTCGTTTCCTGAAATTTCATCTCCTGGGAAACTACAAAACAATTGATTTCGAAAAGAAGCCCTTATATATTCCTCTCCAAATATCTCTTTGCTCCTTGCCCATCTCTTTGCTAGGGATTGAATTTGAAGCATGGCATTTGACTCAATGTTTTTAATTGAATCTTGATTCAAGCTTTTGCAATTCAGGAATGTCGTGGAAACCCGTTTATCAAGAGAAGCATAATCACCATCATGTAAAGAATGGAATGAACTGACATTATGACTGGTGAACGATACTTTTTCTAATGATTTGCAATCATTTGCATTCAAGAACCACATATATCGTGGAAGCTCTGCGAGTGTTTTAAGACTTTTGCAACCACTAAGATCCAACTCACGAAGGAATTCCAGCTTTGAAATATTGCTTGATACATTTTCCACCCTTGAGCATCTCAACCTCAACTTTCTAAGTCCGACAAAAAGCTGAATTGAATCAGGCACTTCTTCTATTTCAGTGTGTGATAAATTTAACTCGGAAAAGTCATTTGGGAGCTCTGGAAACTTCTTGAGTTTAGGACACCCCTCAAATTCAAGCTTTTTAAGAGATGTCAAATGATTGAGTCTAGGAAGTTCAACCAAACTTAGACACTTTGTACATCTAAGGCTTTGAAGGTTGATGGCTCTTGATAGATTAGGGATCTTCCTTAGTTGCTGGCAAAAACGAACGTCAATTTCCCTTAAATTAACAAGATCCTGTACAAATAAAATAACTACATTACTTCACAGCATTATCTACTTATTTTGGGCCATATCAAAAATGAAAAGAAAAATTTACCTTATAATTTTCATTCCAAAGTTGCTCCATGTGACCAAATCGTAATTTCAACACAGCAAGATTCTTTGGATTAAAACTTGATGATAACGATTTGAAGGGATAAAAGTCCCAACAAAGATACCTTAGCTCATCAGGAAGAGATACACTATCAACGCTGTTTGCAAGTACAGCCAGTTTATGGAAGTCCCGCAAAAAGGGCATGAAGAAGCCATATATAACATGGGGACCATAGAAGTGGATATATCTAAGAGAAAGCATGTTCTTAAAACCAGGACATGATAACAGCAGTTCTTCAACTCGACTCTTGTTTAACTTTATTCCTTCAATTGATTTATTCACCTAAAAACAAGAAACAATTAATCAAGTATCAATACAGAGAAATCTATGGGCATTCCATTAAATTACTCATTAAAAAAAGTAATTATATTAGGAAAGGCTTTACTAATTGGGCATACCTTTTTATTACTGGAATTTTTAGACAACAAAAAATGTCTGCCTTTTATTTCAAGTAATGCATTAGATATTTAGCTAACCAAATAAAACTTGAGCAGATCCCATGTTATACCCTAAAACATTGGTCATTATATGTAAGGTATGTACATAAATATTTTATTTTCTGAAATAAATAACAGCTGACAACATATATATCGAATATAAGTTCTAATTAAAATCACAAAAATATATAAAACATAAAAGGAAATGTATATACAATCAGGCTTACTTCATTAGATTTGAGCACTTGATTCAGGTCTTTGAGACTCCATAACCTACTGCGTTTTCCAGGGTCTTTAGATACTTGGCAAACAATGTCCTTACCCATCTCTTCAAGCATATCATGCATAGAAATAAACCTATAAGAATCAATATGAAGTAGGCACTTATCGAACAAGTTACTTATTCCACACAATGCACCCTTATACAAGGAACTTAGAACATTTTCTACATCGTCCTTCAGTTCCCCTTTCAAAAAGCATGCTACGTCAAGAAATATATTCTTCTCTAGCTCATCCAACTCATCAAAGCTCCACCTTAGAATATGTGAAATTTTTGGTTGCGCATATTCCTTGAGCTTATCCACCTCACTTTCCCACTCTTTTCGAGACTTTGTATATAGTTTAGAACCTAAAACTTTTAGAGCAAGTGGATTGCCTTGGGCATAATCCAAAAACTTGTTTGATAGATCTTGAAAATCAAGAGGAGGATTCAAAAGCTTAAATGCAAATGTAGAAAAGAGTTGCAGAGAATCGTTCTCCTTTAACTTGTATACCTCGTGTATATTGTCAGCTCCACCATTCTTGAGAACTTGTCTATCTCTGGATGTCACAATGATTTTACTTCCCTCACCAAAATATTTTACACCCATCAGATCTATCTGCTCTGAGTCATTAACATCATCAAGGACGACAATTGTTTTCATGCTTTTGAGCCTCTTTTGGGTTAAAGGAGATCCTATGGATGGGGTGTCTATATCAATTTTGTCATCTAATAGTTTGGAGAGAAGTTCATTTCTTACAGATTTCATCCCTTTTTTTTCCATTTCCTCTCTAACATTTTGGAGAAAGCAACGACTTTGAAACTCTGAGGAGATTTCATTGTATATCGCATCAGCAAGTGTAGTTTTGCCTATACCACCGGCTCCATAACAAATGTGTCATGCGTAAATCACCCATTAATTTTTTAACGGTGAGGTACTAGAACGAAATAAAAACTGAACGTTAAGCATGGTTTTAAAAAGAATCGAAGTTTAGATATCAAAATAGATCAAATTTAATAGTTTAAGTACTAAATACGTAGTTTACCCTTCTTTATAAAACGCAGAGTTCTATATATTGGGTCTTGGCGCATGTTGAATTTCCACGACTACAGGTATAATTTGTTATGCTTTTGGGGTTTTTGAGATTAATGGGTAAACTACACCTAATAACTCCCAATTATTACTTTTTTCTACTTCCGTCACCAAACTATTTTTTATACTTAGTTATGAATATTATGTTTTCTTTTTCTATTTTGATTATTGGGGGCTAAATTTTTGTTAAAACTAATGGAGATGGTGATGTATTTTGGTATAATAAATTTTTAATCTCCAAACTTTATTCATTCTATCAATTGAATCCTAATTCGAAATAATCTAATAAATTTAACCTTTAATATTTAAAACACATATTAATTTGGTCCTTCTCATAATTCTTTTTGTTCTCCCTCTCCTCTAAATCCAGACTATGGTAGAAATCATCATCAGCCACAATCATTGATCGTTATCGACATCCACTCAATCCTAAAATTTTCTGATCATTCCTTTTTGATTTCCTAAACACGGATCTGACGTCTGTTTCACTAAAAAATGGACTAGACTCCAAAAATCTATCGTAGAGCGTCAATTACCACCATTTTCATGAATTACTATAATTTTTACATGTAACCCCCTAGACCCAACTTAGAAGTTACGATAAAACCATGGAAATCACATTAGTTACCCTCTAAAGGGAAACTTATTTGACAAATTGTTTCTCAAACTCTTATCAGATAAAGTAGTAAAAATAAACTCATGTCACATTTAAGAGAATTTTCGAAAGTTAATATTTAACCATTATATAATATAAAACCGAAATTAAACTTCTAATTATCGATTCGATCCTATATTTGGATAATATAGAATTGAAAAAAAAAAACAGAAAATGGGTGAGTTATAAAATTCAATATATTCTCTAAATACAATCAGACATCATCATTAATTCATAAATATCTCAATCAACATAGCATATCAAATAACGAGTATCTACAAGACATGACCATAAATTTAAAAAGTATAAACACTAAATTAATAAAATTATAGTAAAATGTGTGCACAACACATGAACATATAGCAAAGCCAAAAGTTTTGGATACAAAGAGAAGAATATTACACAATGAGTTGAGCAGGGACAGAGCTCCCTTAGGGTCCAAGGGGCCCGGCCCTATTAAATTTATATATTCGATATAATTTTATTTTATTATTATTTTAATTCATGTAAAAAATAAATATAAAAATATAAAAATTTATTAAATATTTAATCAAGTAGGGGTCAAACTAAAGAAAGATAAGTTTGTGTTCTCAAAATTTTGGTTTAATTACACTTTAAGTCATTGCAAGTTTAAATATTAGACAAATTAGAAGTTATCTTTTGAGTTTTGAGGGTTTTTTTTTAATTTAGGGTGAATACAAGGTAATATATGTACAAAGACTTTCAACTATTTGACAATGAATGCTCATACCCCTACATACGTGCTTGAACTCGATACCTCAAGGATAACAACAATCTCTTAATCACTAAGGTCGCTTGGTTCGTGCTGAATTTCGAGTTTAAATACCTAATAAGTCTTTATATTTTTAAATAGACTAATATTTCAACCTAATATTTCGGCCATTACCAATATTTAATTATGGCTCCGTCCCTGGAGTTGAGTAAGGGTTTGGAAGAATTAAAGTATACATGAAATGTGTCAAGCAACCAATTTGGGGAGTGCATAAGATGAGAAAATAGATAATATGGCAGCACATACAAATGCAAAGAGAAACAAGCTTGCCGATGCATATGCTTTATCAAAAAAAAATTCATCAACGTCGTCTACCTTCAACACATCAGCCAGAGCCTTTGGATCTTTGGTCGCGCCAAACCCAGCTACCGAACCCGTGGCTAATACATACGATATAACCTGCGTGCATGCATGCCCAAAACATGCAAAGCTCTATAAGTAAATTGCATTCACTGTTAATAAATCAAAATATAAGTCTCGCTAAGCTTTAAAATTAATCATTTGTTTCCAAATGCTTCAACTGCACTAGCTAAGCTTTAAAATTAATCATTTGTTTCCAAATGCTTCAACTGCATAATTTATCAAAAATTTTATATTCTGGCAGTTTGCACTACCTTCAAAGAAATATTATTATGTATTAATATACACACTTAAAAATTATTCCACTCATACCACCGAAAATTAGACTCGAATATAAATCTAACCATATAAGGAACTCGATCTAGTTCCACTTGTACAATTCATAGTGAAGTTTTGAATTTGACTTATAGAAGTTGTTTTGAACAGATTCTGCTACTCTGTTTTCTGACCTATCCTCGATTAAAAATTCATATCTCTTTGTACACTACTCGAAATCATTATCAGTTTGTTTTAAGTGAAACTAGACTGATATATAAATTCAACGGTATAAATATCATCCTCTAATCATTTTTTTATAATTTATAGTGATTTTCTAAACTTACTGTTCAAATCTTGAATTCTAGGCACTTTCCTTAATTAGCTTCCTTAACTCATTCCATACTTCTATTACTTACCGAATGAACATATAGGCTTGAATCACAATTCACATAAAATTAAGAGTCACTTCTTAATATTGTAACTCCGACATTGGATCATCGCAAGCATATTGTGATGTCTTTCTATTTATTCTCTATTACAGTAATAATTGTGGTAATTAAATTTTTACCCAATTAAATTACTGCTAGTGATATAAGTTTTATCGTTACTAAAACTTTGACATAATTAGAATACACAAATTGACGTGAATTATTTTCTTGATGAAAATAATATGATACCCTGTAAAATTATTTTATATTTAATAGATTTCAATCTAATTGTATTTTAGTTCATGTAAAAATAAGTATTTAAATTGATAAATATAAGAATTTATTAGATATTTAATCAAGTAAGGGTGAATTAAAGAATGATAATTCAATACCAACAACTGATTGGTCTAGCGGGATGAGGCACTATATTCCTTAAGCAAGGTCAGAGATTTGAATCTTATCAATTGCGAACGGAGCAAACTGGGTTATACAAAAAAAAAGGAATGATAATCCAATGTTCTCAATTTTTTGGTCTAATAACAATTTAGGTCATTATAAATTTAATTATTACACAAATTAGACATTGTTTTCTGAATTGTAAGTTTAAATACCTAATAAGTCATTGAATTTTTCTTAAAAAGTTTAATATTTCGACCCCTGTCTATATCTAATCTTGGCTCCACCCCTGATATAAAGTGATCATTGTTATTTGATATTTGTCGTGAAAATAAAGTTTTGTATCACTTAAAATTTTCCTTTTTGTCATATAAATTTTGACACAAATAATCTCTATTTATTTTTATAACCATTGTACTAATAACAACTAAAAAAAATTATAGTTACCATAAACTAGTTTATCGAAATAAAAATATTTTTCATTAATCTCTGTACTATGTGCAAAGTATAATTTTAGTCATTATACTCTAATTTGATCATTTTTAGTCCCTATACTTTTTAAATTTTTAAATTGCAATCACAATTCGAAAATTGCAATGACAATATGACATATTCACAGTGTTAGTATGACAAATGATTATCGCATAAAGGACCATTCTTTTGTTGATTTGAATTAAATTAAATTTATTTAATTATTTTAAAATATAATAGTTAATGTTTTGGGTTTAAATCTTAATATTTATAGGTTTGTATTTTAAAATCAACACAATTATTTTTTTATTTTTTTTCCATAAACATATTTTGTATTCTAAATCATAAAAAATATTAAATGATAATAATAGTAATAGGAATAGCAAGAAATGCTATAGTTAATATATTTTCAAAAAATAAATTAAATTAATTCCCGTCATAATAGAACAGTAATAGGGATGCCGCTTGATGATGCTGAACTGAAAGTCATTGGCATCAGTGAGTTGGAAGCCATTGCTTTACTGGGAGCTTGTTTGTGGTCATCCTCAACCTTGTGGCCTTGTCTGCTTTACTTAACTCTTCCGCCAAGAAACCAAAGCACTTTAAGGGTATGTTAGTATATTGTGTTGTATTTCTTAATGCCGCCACTGTCTCCAGCTGGCATCTCTCTTGTATAAATACGTTGGTCTCTAATGAGATATTACAGCTTTCATCAATAAAATCCTTAGAGAGTACATCCATTAATGATAGCAGAGTGATACGTGCTGGTTTTTTGTGTTCGTTTAGTCTAGTTGACTATGGTGAACATTCCCTGAGTTAAGGTATCTAAATTTAAGTAATTTTGTTCAAGACTGAGTTGAGCTCTCATAGACTTGCAAGTTTATTCTAATTTGCTTCTGCATCTAATTTCTTTGGAATGCTATAAGTTGCACTCTTATTTTTTTTATTGGCTCATCATTTGCCTTTGATGCTTTACCATTGTTGGTTAATTTGTTGTTCTTCATCAAATGTTTTGCCTCACGTTCGCTGAGTAGTTTATGTGTCTGATATTATCTTTTGCCTTTGATGTTTTGATCCATTCATTGATCTCTGGCTGAGAAAGTCGGATAGGAGTGTACTCTATGCTCAAGCAAGTGAAAATTTTGTTGATCTTCTGTTTAGCTTCCTCTCCAATCTGTATTGGATCTCGTCTTAAGAGGCAAAGGTAATATCACATTGGGATCCATCTCCAACTTGTTCAGAGATTTAAACACACCATTCTCAGTATCCAATCAAAAGAATTCCCAGAAATGTTTTCTTTCCCCTTTTATAGCTGTCCAAATGAGTTCCCAAGTATCCGTTCTCCGGCATGCATACATTATCGTTACACCTTCTACGAGTCCTTGTCAAGAAGTAGACTAGAATCAAGCGTTCTCAATAAACCATTGGAC